ACATGGCCTGGACCTCCCGATGGAACAGGTAGTCCAACAGCGTCAGTGCCATTTTCTCTGCTGTGCGGCAGTTTGTGCTGATATGGAGCATATCAGCTGCAGACACCGGGGAACGAACTCGCATCTCCGGGTTGTTCTCATCACCCAGCCAGGTGCCCTCTGGATAATCATCTAGAGAGCAGGAGAAGGAACAGTTACAGCTACAGCTACACAGCTCTATCAGCAAACCTGCAGTCAGTTAACAGTTGCAGATCTGTGGTAGTGTGTAAATGCCACCTACCATTTGTTCACTGAAGAAAAGCTAAATATATAGATATGTATTGATTCAGAGATAACTACACTGGTACAGTCACTGAGATTCTGTACTCTGCACTGTGCAATACAACAGCACACCCATGTGGCAGTAAAGGCAAACTACATAAAACATGGGCAAACAAATGTTATTAAATAAGATATTAAAATGCAGAATATGTGGTTTGGCTGTTTTCTCACTGCAAATGTTAAATGTTAAGACCACCACACAAAGACACAAACAAAGCATTTGAGACACTGCTCAGAATAACACATGGTACTAAATAATGCTGGCTAATGCTATTTTGTCATGGTAACCCAAAGCTGCAACAAATCAACTAATGAATTGTTTCCCTTTCAAAGGAATTAAGATTAAGATCTTCCTCAGTCCACTGAAAATAACCCAACCATCAAGGACAACAAATTAAACTCTTTATAAATGTAAAGCTACTGAAAAATTATTCAATCACTGGAGTCAATGCTGACAATGCTCATGTGCACAAGTCTTTTGCATGTAAGGACGAACACAAGCCAATTTCTTGTGAAAGTCAATCACTTCACATACAGGTCAAAATGGCAAAATGCTGTTTTTGACTGCCTAACTTGGGCGTCTGCTGTTAGCCCAGGTATGTTTCGTATGCTAGCAGCCATGAGGCCAAGTAACCATTAGCCAGAATTCAATCTGAAGTGGTCAGAAATTCAGAGTTTCGATTTCTTATCACTCAAAGCAGGGGCAGATTTAGTGGTTTGGGGACTCCTGGTAAACTACGGCAACGTAAAAGTCTATAATAGTGATTTGGACGTTGCTTTTTCTTTTGCAGTACACACATGACTGTACATACAAGAAAAATAAAACACAAAAAGAATCAATAAGAGTACCATGGAAGTATTAGATCGATATGCAGTTCTTAAAAAATAGCAGTATAGTTAAAATGTTAATGATCCATCGCTGCTTCAACATAGCAAATATTTGTATTATTCATCTAAAAGAAAGCAAGGGAAATACATCACATGCATATGTGGCAGTTGAGGAATATCTTTTTCAACTCCTCCTCCTCCTCCAGTGTTGTTTCATACACAAATGTGATAGTGATCAGTGTTTCTGTGTGTTTATCAATAGCTTGTATTCGTACCTTCTGAATTGAGTGTGATCAGTGTGACATTTTGGCCACTTTGCGCGTTGTTGGAATGGCCGCCATTGGAAACAGAGTCACTGGCCTCTGAACCACTCTCCTGCTCCTCCTGACTCTCATCGGGACCCGGCACCTTTACCAGAATTGTGTTATGACGCCGCTTCGTCACGGTGCTGAGAAGAAACGCAAATATACAATCAGTGGTCCAAACATAGATTAAAATCACAGCTGTGGGCATCGTGTGTGAAGAAGTGATGAGAACGTTTTTCACATTTCAAACTAGACTAGAGATGTAAATGTGGACCACTCACTTGCTGAGCAGATTCTCCAGCGGGGTGTCCTCTTGGCTAGAGCTCTTCGGGTGCTCACTGCTCACGATCACATTCGTTTGTGGAACAACACTACGTGAGGAGTTAAACAGCCAATGATAAATTCCCACTTTTTTTTTTGTTTCAACTAAACCTAAGCAATGTGGCTCTGGTAGTATCTGTGATCATAATACATATTTGCAAAAAGTGTCTAAAAGCATCATAACAAAACTAAACATACTTAAATTTTGATTAATCTCCAGTGGATTGCACTCTATTGGCCTAAGATTTGTTGTAGCTTACCATCGCACTTTGTTCCAAGTTTGAGTGGCCCCCTGAGGTGACCCTGCAACCATAGGAACCTGGATAGGACTCTTGGGACAAGGCACCATGCTGTCCAGCTTGTGTCCAAGGGCTTTGCAGGTGGCATCCAGAGCCTGTAACTTGGACTCGATTCCCTCCAGTCGCTGGCTGATTGATGTGGTGAATGAAAAAAACAGGTTCTTGAAAGACAGAGAATAAGATCTCAAATGTATAATTTATCTTCAACATTTTTATTTCTTCAATTATATTTGAAAATATTTTTTTTTTAATCCAAAGCTTGTACCTTAATAAAAGATATGTCTTGGTTGTTGCTGTTGTTTTCTTGACTGTTGCTTAATTTTCTCTTTTTCCTCTGAGGCCTTTCTTCATCATTTTCATGATTGTCAAGCAAGTCTGCCAAGAATAACCCAGAGACACAAACCTCAACACAAAACATGACAGCCTATGTTTTTTTTAAACCCTAACCCTCTCTATGGGATGTCTAGACTGAGGCTGTGTGTCCTTCTTCAGTCTGAGGAGTAATAGTAATAGGAGTATAAGAGTGTCTGCATCCAAAAATACAGAATTTACAATGCTGTTACAATTGTTGATTAAATGAAATTAAGACAATGTCATTGCTCATTCACAACGATTAGATTACCTGTTCGGTCCTCCTGGTTAAAGTCCTCCACTGTTATTTGCACAATGTCATCCAAATCTTGCTCCGACATTGTTCACACCTGAAAGATAAAGTAGAACATGAAAATATTTCTTTATTTACATGCTACTAAAAGGCAGAATAAAACCCTGGTTGTTGTCGATTGATGTCTCCTGAACTTAAAATTGTACGTGTTACACAAAATATAAAACTGCATTCCCCCTTGTTTGTATGATTCAGGGATGTTTCAGGAAGTTCCTTCAGGACTTAGTTACTTGTGACCAAGACAAACCCAACACATGGATTTGAATGTAACACTTTAGTCCTTAGTTATGTTCATGTAATGTTCTCACCTGTTATTGTAGAGGTATTACATTGTCTGTACCCAACATATCCAGGAACTGCATACAGCACAAATATAAATGTACTTTTCTGTGTACCACTGATATCCCATTTGTTTAAAAGTTTTCAGTTATAATTTAAATAAGGCCATCTTCATAAGAGAAAGCTTTGATATCATTACATTTTGTTTTCTAATGATGCAATCGCTATTGTCTGCAAAGGAAATGAAACTAAAAGGAGAAGAACTCATTTCTATGCATCAGTTCAGCAAAGTTCACTTTATAACTCCAACTACTGTGCATTTAACTACTGTTGGATTATTTGAGCTTACATTTGAATGAATTTGCTTCTTTAGACAGAGGTTTTATGGTGAGAGATGAAATTGACAGCTTTTTAAATGATGGAAGTAGCATTGAACACTGTCGGTGACTGCACTTGCATCAGTCAGTATTAGCTGTCACTAATGTAATTACAACGCCAAAAAATTGCATATAGATTTATTTGATATGTTTATTTCGGTTAGCAACTTAAATACAAAATGAATGAGGATCTGTGTGCAGGGATGTGTCTCCTCAGCTGAGAGCCTGAGACAATTCAAATTATTAGGAGGGTGAGACACTGTGCGTTTATGAGACAGGGGACACAGTTGTCCACACTCATCATGTGTCAGTCCTCTCTGGGCTTCATCCCTCTGGTTGTATACTTATTTATATATGCAGATTTCAATCTAACACACATTAAACATAGGTTTCCAGGTCATAACTATAAAAACATGTCACTATCTGAGTGATAGCAGCTGACTTTATACTAACAGGGTCGTTTGAATTTGGACTGACAGTGACGTTAGCTAGCATTAGCTCTGGTAGTAGCAGGGACAGGGAGTGTGTTCTAGCTGTTGTGGGGCAACAATGCGTCCCTCGATGCTTCCTCCTAAACTGCGACGACTATTAAAAACACCCCACAGTGCTGGAGGAGTCGAGCTAGCCGGGCTAACTGCGTCTGTATTGGGACTCCAATGCTAACGGTGCGGCTACGAAGCTAACTGGGCGGGGGTGGGGGCTTATCGGTGATAATAAGTGTGTAAAGACAAAATAAAACAAACAACTGGCGCAACATGGCTGTGAGGTGATTTAAATTCATTATCCCATCCAGCTGGGAACGTTGCAACCACCGCACAGCTGCCCAGCCCGGTGAGAGACAGACGAGCTAATGCTAGCTAACGCTGCAGAGTGTGGAGATGCAAGCTTGCTTTGTAACGTTAAAGCTGAAGCTAAGGACTAAGCTAGCGTGGTGATTAGCATGCTAGCGGGGCCTAAAGGCCTCGGAGGTGTAAAGCAACGATCCTAAACATTCAGGATAAATAGCGACACAATCTGCCTCTCGCTCGGCTGCTCCGCTCCCGCACCGCCACACGACACACGTACCGTGTAAGATTGGGTTATATTACCGTGTGAATGATGAATTCTCGTGGTGTTTGTAGGGATTCCGATAACGGCGCCGTTCCTCGCGAGAGATGAGTCCTCGCCTCCGCGTGTTTGTCTCTTCATTCAGTGGAACGAGGCCAGAGCGCCCATCTGACACTGCGGGAGACCGCGAGTTCGAGTCCCCTCCGGTTCCAAGTCTTGGTGATTGTGTTTACCGATGTACGGTCGTGACTATAAGAACAATTTTTTTATTACACTTTCCTCAGCACAGTGACAAAGTGTTTGACAAAAAAAACACGCAATAAAATAACAATAAAATAATTTAAAAAAGAAAACAAGTTAAAGTAATTGAAATTCACACAGAGATTAGTTATATTATATAATATCATATTAGTTACAAACAAAAGTGAAGTGAAAATCTCTCTCTCTCTAAATACACACACACACACACACACACACACACATATGTATATGCACTGCTCAAGTACAGTAAAGATACCTCAAAACTAAAGTATCTCACATTCCATCATTTATTTGAATTTTCACAATTTAGTTTGACCTTATTATTTCTCCATTATTGTTCATAAATCGTGTTTGGTGTGTGTGAGAGACAGAAAAGACAGCAAGCAAACAAGTCATGATACCTTATGAAAATAAGTTGTTGCAACTCTTTGTGATCATGTTAGCAACTGAAATGACAGAAATGGAAAGAAATACGGATATTCTTTTTTATAACACTTTTCTTAACAAAGTTACAAAGCGTTTGACAAAAAGGAAACACAACAATAAAATTAACCAAAAAACCAACGAAAAATGAATTCACACAGAGATTATAATAGGGATTTAAAATCAGTACAGAAATAGCATGTTTAATCTCAGCAGGTAGAGTATTTTTTGCTCTTGTTTGCAGCAGAAACAAAAAGGTATTCATTGCATCTTTTTTCTATGAATACAATTCAGCAAAGTCAATAATTCATACAAACATTAAAATATATATATTTTTACCTGCAAAACAGCAGTTTATGGTAATGTATTAATTCAAAGAGCATTTTCTAAATGAAAAAATAAATATATATTGGGGATAGAACAAAAATGAATGTTTTGTAAGTGAGATATAGATTATGATCTTGAAGTAGAGATCTGGAGATGGCTACCTCAGCCCCAGGATAGAGACAAGCTAAGCTCCTGGATTTGTCTCCCAATCTGTTGTATCTGAAACAAACAAACATAAAACAGAATTACACTTCATACAGTAAGTAGAATAATGTTTAAAGACATAGTGCTTACTGCATACATCTTCATATTTTATATCTTACTGTAATTAGACAATATAATCCTATCACTTAAATCATAAATCTTTTCATTTCCAATACAAACCACAATTGTTATAATATGTGTTTATTATTCCTAGATTGTACCTGTCATTTTCGTTCCCTCCTTGGTCTCAGCTGGGACACCAATCCCATACTCATTTTCCCCAGTGATTCTGAAGAAGTAGATTCCTCCCTCCTCTAGGTCAGACACCTTATAGGACAGACGACAGCATTTGTCAGTGAGTCTTGTCCACCCTTGTCTACTGATGTCCCGCATGTCCACATAGTAGTTCTTGACAGGAGCTCCTCCCTCATTGTCAGGGATGTCCCAGGTAACAGTGGCAGAGGTTTTGGTCACATCCTTGACTATTATATGAGTTGGTGGACCAGGGGAATCTAAAACCCTCACACTCAGGGCCAAAGAGGCAGATCCAGCCGCATTTTGCAGTTTGACTATGTACTTGCCAGAATCGTCACGTGTTGCTTGTTCCACTGTGACAGAGGTGAGGCCATTGGTGGTGTGTATGAGTCCCCTGACTCTGAGATCGACATCTGCTTTGTCCCATAACACACTGGGAACAGGTTTGCCTGTGAAAGGCACAGTCAAAGTGAAGGAGCTGCCATCTCTAACAAGTAGGGTCTTCCTCATCTCGTTGCTAATGTCAAACCTTGGCTCTTCCTCTCTCTCAACAGCTATTTGAGGCTCTGTTTCAGGACTTGGCTCACTGATGCCAATCTTATTCATGGATCTGACAATAAAAATATATTCTGTCCCTGATGTGAGTCCAGTTATTGTAAACTCTGTTTTATCTGTGTTGGGAACACCAACAGTCCAGTCTTCTTCTGTTGATTTTCTGAACTCAACTTTATACCCTGTAACTGCTGCTCCACCATCAAACAAAGGCTTGTTCCATGACAGACTGATCGAGGACCTGGATGAATCAACTATGATGGGCTTTGCTGGAGGTGAAGGTAGAAACTTTGGATCCTCTGCCACGGTTAGTGGGCACGGGACACTGGGTTCACTTATCCCTCCAGCATTCTCAGCAAAGACTCTGAATTCATACTCACATCCCTCATGCAGACCAGAGGCTTTGACTCGTAAGTCATAGACTGGTTTTTTGTTGACTCTTACCCAGCGAACACCCTGCTTTTCTCTCCTCTCAATGATGTAACCACTGATGCGGCTACCACCATCAGAGTTTGGTCTCTTCCAGCAGATGGTCATAGCCTCAATAGTTGCACTTGTGACCTCAACATCCATTGGGGCAGATGGGACGTTAAAGGGATCCACAGCCTTGATGGGCTCACTTTCCAAAGTCTCACCCTCCCCATATTTATTCACTGCCCTCACTCGAAAAAGGTATTCATTTCCTTTGAGCAGCTTGGTTATCTTACAAGTTGTTGCCATCATGTCACCGTACACAAGAGTCCAGGCAACACGGCTGGTTTCACACTTCTCAATAATGTAGTACATGATCTCAGCACCACCATTCTCATGAGGGGGTTCCCATGACAGGGTGCATTTCTCTGCTGAAAGTCCAGAAACCTCCAGAGGTCCAGCAGGTGGGCCTGGCCTGTCCAGGACCTTACAAGTGATAGCTTTAGATGTGGTACCACCTGTATTCTGTAGGGTCAAAGTATATTGTCCAGAGTCTTTCCTAACACTTTCTCGGATGAGAAGAGAGGTATGCGTCTTTGTTGCAGTCATCTCAATCCTTCCCTTCGTGCCAATATTTCTACCATTCTTCAACCAAAACACTGTAGGATTTGGGCGACCAGCGATTTCAGCATCTATTCTTAGGAGGTCTCCTGCTTTGACAATCACCACCTGTCTCAGTTTGTCATCCAAGATAATTTTGGGTGGTTCTACATCATGCTGTACAGTAACAGGTCCTGTGGTTTCTGAGGGTGCACTGAAGAGTTCAGCTGAATTCTTTGCAATCACACGGAAATCATATTGTTCACCCTCTGTGAGGCCAGTCACTTCCAAAGAGGTTTCCAGTAAATTAGTGAAATTGCACTTTAGCCAACAACTCTCTGGCAGCTCTTTACGCTCAACAATGTAAGCAGTTATTTTCGCTCCACCATCGTATTCTGGTTTATCCCATGAGAGGGAAACTGAGCTGTTGCTTATGTTGGTGACTGTGAGGTTCTGTGGGGGATCGCACTGGTCTCGTGCTGCAACAGGATCAGATGTCTTACTGCAGGGTCCAATACCTGCCATATTCTCAGCACAGACTCGAAACTCGTATATCAGGCCCTCCTCAACACTCGTTACCTTGAACTGTTTCTCACTCACCAGGCTTCTGTTTAACTTTGTCCACAGAATACTGCTTTGATCTTTGCATTCAATATGATACCCCATGATAGGGCTGCCGCCATCACTATCTGGATTGTTCCAAGCAATGACCATTACAGACTTTGAGGCCTGCACAACATGGAGGTCAGTTGGTGGACCAGGGGGCTTGAAGGGATACTGGGCAACAACAGGTTCAGATTCAATAAACATGCTCTTGCCATAGCGATTCTCTGCAGCAACACAAAACTGATATTCAGTACCTTGTGTCAGACGGGCGATTTTGATTGATGTTCTTGCAACTGTAGCTGAAACAGTCTGCCATATTGTGCTGCCTGTATCTCTCTTCTTAACAACATAATTCGTGATTTCACATCCACCAGTATAACGTGGGGGCTGCCATGAAAAAGACACAAAGTCAGCACTCACCTCATCTACACTGAGGTCACTTGGTGGTCCAGGTCTTTCAAAGACATTAACCACAATTTCAGCAGACGTGTTTCCAACAGAATTGGACAGAGTCACTTCATACACACCCACATCTATTTTGGAGGCATCTTTGATAATGATCTGAGATGATGTGTCAGATGTGTGTACATTTACCCTGCTCGTCTCTTTCAATGCATTGCCATCTTTTTTCCAGGATGCTGTTGGTGCTGGAACACCCTTGAATGGAACATCAATCTTAAAATCATTGCCTGCCTTCACACTGAAAGTGTTGGACAGCAAATTAATAATGGGCCCAGCACTAGTATCCTTAACGGTAACAGGCGCCAACAAATACTTTGGTTCACTTTTTCCCTTTTCATTTAAAGCACTCACTCTAAAGAAGTATTCCTTTCCTTTTGTCAGCCCATTAATTGTCACTTCCAGTGCTTTACTCTCTGAACATATTGTCCATGTGTCATCTCCCTTTGCTTGCATTTCTACAGTATAACATGTAATTTTGCTTCCTCCATCATGGTCAGGTTTCTCCCAAGAGAGTGTCACATTATTGCAAGTGACATCACTGATAGTGATTTTACCTGGAGTCAGAGGAGCCTCAGATGTTTTAACAGCCTCAGTGGTTGCTACTGGTTGTCCAGTTCCAAATTCGTTCACAGCCAACACACGGAAATAATAAAAGAAACCTTCCTGGAGATTGTCGATCTTGTATGAGTTCCTGACACAATTGCTACAAACGCTTGTGAAGGCCTTTCTAGCTTCCTCACGCTTCTCTATGATGTAGTGTGAAATCTTTGATCCTCCATCAATGAGAGGTGCCTCCCAGGAGATGGACACAGAGTCTCTCTTTACATCTTTCACCTCTAGGTTTGTAGGGGCACTGGGAGAGTCCAAAACTCTAACGTTGATGAAAGCTGATTTAGAGCCACTGCAGTTTACAGCGGTCAACACATACTTTCCTGAGTCATTTCTGTTGACATTCTCAATCAATAGCACTGTGAAGGAGCTTGTAACCTCAATTTGAGCACGCTCACTGAGAGATCCATCTTCCTTTGACCATTTAACCTCAGGCTCTGGCCTCCCTTTGATGGTGACATGGAGGCGTAAGGTGGAACAGGCTCGGACGTTCACAATCTTCCTCAAGGTGGTGTCCAGCTCAATGTCAGGTGCCTCCAGTTTTTCAGCTGCTTTCACTGACCCAGGTAGATCCACAGGCTCTCCAATTCCAGCAGCATTAATCGCTCGTATACGAAAATTATACTCTGCATTTTCTCTCAGTCTCTTCACTGTGTAGTTTGTTTCATCTACACCTGTGAATGTAATCCACTCATCCTCTCCTGTTTCTTTAATTTCAACTATAAATCCACTGATGCCTGCACCACCATCATAGATGGGCTTTGACCAAGTCAGAGATACAGTATTGCTGGAATAGTCTGTCACTTTAGGGTTGGTAGGGGGACCAGGTGGGTAAGTAGCTTCACAGACTTTTATATACTCACTTGGCTCACTGGGTGCACCCACACCAGCTGCATTTTCTGCCGATACTCTGAATTGATAGTAATGTCCCTCAGTGAGCCCTGTGCAACGGAAACGGAAGTCGTTTAGTCTTCTCTTGTTGCATTTAGTCCACCTGACACCTTCTTTGTCACATTTCTCCAAGATGTAGCCATCAATCTCTGAGCCTCCATCGCTCTCTGGCCTTTCCCATGTTAGCGCTACAGAGTCACCAGTCACTGCGCTCACTGTAGGAGTAGATGGTGCACTAGGGGTTTTAAATGGGTTTTGTGCAATGAAGGGGTCTGATTCCAAAAATTCACCAACACCAAATTTATTCACTGCAGCAATTCTGAATATGTATTCTTTTCCAGGCACCAGTTTTGTTACTTTGTAACTGACAGCTTCAACATGAGCATCAACCCCTGTCCATGTAACACGACTGGTCTCCCTCTTTTCAATGATGTAGTGGGAAACACAGGCACCGCCATCATTTAAAGGGAGGTTCCAGTGAAGATTACACTTATCTGCACTGATAACTTTCACTCTCAAAGATCCATCCGGAGGACCAGGTCTGTCCAGGACCTTCACATTAATTGGCAGTGACGTAGTTCCACCAATGTTAATAAGGCTCAGTAAAAACTGGCCCCCATCCCCTCGTGTACAGTCCCTGACAGTAAGAGTTGTGTGAGTGAGGGTGTTTTTGACCTCCATTCTCGGTGTAACTTTGTCAATTTCTTTTCTGTCTTTGAGCCACAGTACCTCAGGAAGGGGCTTCCCAAAGTAATCAGCCTCAATAATGAACGTCTCACCCGCCTGAATGACGGTAGTACTCTTGAACTTAGGATCAATATATGCTGTGGGTGCTTCAATAACATCCTGAGCGATGATGGTTACAACTTCTGAAGGTGGGCTCCAAACACCAGCTCCATTCTTGGCAGTTACTCTGAACTCATAACTTTGGCCTCCTGTCAGACCTGTAACTGTGAACTGATTCTCATTAACATTAGTGAAGTTTGCCTTCATCCATCTGCCATCTGGGAGGTCCTTCTTTTCAACAACATAGCCTGTGATGGTGCTTCCACCATCGTACTTGGGTTTTTCCCACTGAAGTGTGACGTTCTCTCTCGTAATGACAACAGCGTCAGGCTTTCCAGGTGGATCACAGGGGTCTCTCGCCACATAACATTCAGATATCTTGCTCGATGAGCTGAGTCCAGCAATGTTCTCAGCAAAGACCCTGAATTCATACTCAATGCCCTCTTCCAGGCCGCTTGTTTTGAAGCGAGCATCGGTTATAACAAACTTGTTCAGCTTGGTCCATAAAATGCTGTTCTTCTCTTTGCGTTCAAGGTGATAGCCGATGATGGGGCTGCCTCCATCTTTGTTTGGGGGCTGCCATTCAACAACCATGCTGTACTTTGTCACGGTGGACACAAAGGGAGTCCCAGGAGCATTGGGCACACTAAATGGATATTGTGCAATTACAATAGGAGAGGTGATTGCCGTACTTTTTCCGTACCTATTTTCTGCAAACACTCTAAATTGGTATTCACTTCCTGTCTTCAGCTTGGTGACTTTGATTGTAGTTCTTACTGTGGTCGCTGACACGGTCTGCCACTCTGTACTTGTAGTTCCACGTTTCTCCACTATGTAGTTGTCTAGCTGACATCCTCCTGTGTATTCAGGTGGCTCCCATGAGATGGTAGCGTAGTCAGAACTGACTTCATCAATCCTCACAGGACCTCTGGGCGGATCCGGCTTTTCAAGAACAACCACACTGATTTCTCCTGTGAATTCTCCAGCGCTGTTGCTCGCTGTGACTAAGTATTGACCAGAGTGCTCCCTGGCAGCATGTCTGATATGAAGAACTGCTAATGAGGGTGTAGCTGAAACCTGGAGCCTCGATGTCTCTTTAACTGCAACACCATTTCTTTTCCATTCAATCTTGGGTGCTGGTTGACCAAACACTGGGATTTCTACTTTCATATCTTCACCATCCTTGACAGTGAATGTGCTAAAAGTTATCTGGAGTGATGGCTTAATAGCATTTTCCTTCTCTGTCACAGGACCAGATGGGACCTGAGGGTTGGGTTCTCTGTTCCTTTCAGACGTGTCAGACGAACCTGGTGTGAAGATCAGATAAGCGGTAAATAATTGTTTTTAATAATATATATGAGTATTGTTAAGTCAAATTAATCTATATAAATGGTTAAATTATTTACATTGTGACAATCTGTTATTTGAATCTATACCAAAATGTGAATATATAGTTTTATTTGTTATTAACATAAAATAATTGTTTATACTGAAAAATCAAAAACTGTATAAGTAGAAATAACAAGGGACAAAAAATGTATTCTAGACACTTGGTAACAATTAGGCAACACAATAATCCAACATTTTAGCATGTTTTGATTTCAACTCAAAGCAAAGCATTGATATATACAAGGCTACAAAGTGAGAGGAGGCTTGTGTGACATACCTTGGACAATGAGTGAGGAGGGTGACTGGGAAGCTCCTGCTGCGTGCTCTGCATTAGTGTCTGGTGTCAGATTTATATTTAGAGTGTGAGCTTTATCCTCGCTTTTCTTTCCCGTCTACAAAAAAGAAAGGAACAAAGCTGTCAGAAAGAAGAAGAAAAAAGGGAAAGAGATGCATGCATACATAAACAGGGCGATATTTCTATTTGGTTGTTTGTAGTTTATGACCACATTATAAAAATTTGCTCTACATATTTCATTTTACTGATGTTTTAGACAGACGATGTGGGCTGTGTTACTCTGGTGAGTGTGATGTGTTGTAACAGAAACTTTTGATGGTGTTAAAAATAACTACAGGCATGACGGAGTAGGCGGCCAGCTGCTCAGATAAAACTACAACTTTCAAAGCTCTATTAAGTTTCAAACTACTAAGAAACATTGAAAAATCACCAAAGAAAACATCATTCAGAGGGGCCCTCGGCTCTTTCTGTACTATTCCAACAAGCTATTTCCTACAAGCAACACAACTGTACCACTTACTTGATTGTTGTTTGATTCCATCCTTTCTCTCACTTGTCCGTAATAATGTATGAGAAATGTGACGTGATGTAAAATCCAGCTGCTTCAGTTTAAATGCATCAACTGTGGTGAGCCGAGAAAATCTGTGGCAGACGTGCACAGCTCTGCCAGTCACTCTCTGCTTTATCTGCAAAGGCATGCAGGGGCTAAAATAACCATGATGTCTGATTGGCCAACTGCTCATGCTTTTAAAGTTAGCCTGTGACAGTCAGCCCAGGAAAAACTGGAAAGTGGCTTAACAGTTAAATATTGCTCACATGGCATTTACCATATGACTTTACACTTTAGATACTTTGTAAATACATTTGTGTTTAATTGGGGGTGGGTGTGTTATATGCGCGGACAATAAGCAAATTATCATCCATTACAATAATAGCAATGGGTCAAAGCTACAGAAGAATCAACATGTAGACTACTCTTATAAATATTCAAGCTTTTAATCTGCTGCCTTATAAAACTTTGGAAGGAGTGAGTTGGCAATAACAAACAATATTTTACTGGAAGCCAGATATCAAAAAGATATCCTGGGCACTTGAACTTCCTTTGCAGTACACGCTTCAGGACACAGGGGGGAGACAATTCAATATGAATAAGGCAATGTAGAAAACAGGAGATAAGAGTTCCTATATCCTTATAGTATAAACAGTAACAAGCAGTTCAGAAAGTGAGGACACGATGGGGGAAATAAAAAGACTGGATGAGGGGAAGAGAAGTGAAGAATATACTGGAGGGGAAAGTAAGTCAACAGGTGCACCAACTCAGAAAAACATGGCTTATTGAGGTTGGCAGTAATGCAACCACTGGAATAACTGCTACACAGAGGAGGAAGAAGAAGAAACTGTACTATGGGTATTTGCAAATATCCGCAGATATTCACTGCTATGGGCAGTGAGAAAGCAGATATATTGGCAAAATTATTGTTAATCGACATTACACGTACCATTAAGCAAAGCAGAAATAATCATACAGGCAAGAACACTGACATTTAAATGACAACGGGAGACATTTGTACAGAATTCAAAAGTGGGCAATTCTAAGTAGGAACTGGTGAGAGGAGCAGAGGAGAGAAAGTCATTACCCATCACAGTATTAAATGATAATCATGAAATAGGCAAACACCCAACACTCCCGTTCAGAGGGTGGCGGTAATGCGCCTATAAGCTGGTTTGCCAACCCGTAAAAACACAAGAAGAAGAGAAAGCAACAGCAGCAGCAGCAGCAGCAGAAGAAGAAGGCGAACCGGTGCTAGGGAAGTAGCTTGTGACCTGTGTCCTCTTCATGTTGTTGTAGCTTTTTAAAACAAGGTATTTAACTCCCGTCTGTTTCAAGACGATGACAAAACCTAAAGGTGAGTTCACAGTTAAATGAGCTCGTGTTTGTGTCATGGCGTCTTCCGCGTCACAGTAGAAATGTTAACACGTGTCTCTGATTTTCATTGATTCATTCATGGATCATATTTTCTTGATGTTGTTTATTTTTTTTACAGCTTATTAAATGTTTGCTCCACGTGTGAGCATTAAAATGTGTTGTTCTTCAACTTGTTACCTTTCTGACAAATCCATTTGAGGCCTGTACTGTGTACTTAGTTTTTATAAGACTTCTGATATTCTTTTCTTTTATTCATTCTGTACCAGTGTTTGAGGTCTATGACATCCATACAATGGAGATCTGAGTAAAATAACATGTGGTGTATTACTGTATAACTCATTTTAGAGCTGCCACTTTGTAAATTAATCAATTAGTGATTAACAGAAAAGTTTAACTAACTATTCAGATTGTTTCCACCTTCTCAAAGACCTTCAAGTCTTATTCCTGTGTCTCATCAGCAGATCCAACCATGTCGCTCCAGTTTGTTTACACCGACCAGGACTTTGTTACAGATGTGCATCGAAGCAGTGAAAAGAGTCCGTCAGCCAAGTTTGACGCTGTCATCCAAGCCGGCTGGAGCGACAGGATGGAGAGGGGACTTTTTCGCTACAATCTGGGTGATTTACAAACACGCATTATGCCGGGGTCACACAGCTACGTGGCACAGTTGAATATTCAAAGAGGTACAGAGAAAAGAAAGCCTCAGGAGATACTGAGCATTAAGCAGGAGTTTAACGCCAAACAGTTTCATTTTAACAAAATAAATCCAGAGGAAATTATATTTGAGATGATAAAGAACACAGAGGCAGGCTCAGCTTTGCACCAGCAGAGCAGGATGGTCGTGCTGGTCAACGTCAGTCCACTGGAGTTTGGGCATTGTCTCTTTGTTCCAGATCCATCGCGCTGTTTACCGCAGGTTCTGACGAGATTTGCCATCCAGGGCGGTATCGAATCTGTGCTCCTGAGCGCCGACACTGGCTTTCGCATGGGTTTCAACAGTCTGGGAGCATTTGCGTCAGTCAACCATTTACACCTACATGGCTATTACATGGACCATGAGCTGAAGATAGAATCAATGCTGCTCAGGCCATTGGTTCCTGACAAGGGTTTTTATCGCTTGTTGGACTTTCCAGCAGGTTTTGTGTTTTATGCTGAAACAGAGGAGGTGGAGAAAGTTGCCAGAGCCATTTGTGAAGTGACGGATTTCTTGGTTGATGGAAATGTCGCTCACAACTTATTCTTGACCAGAGGATGTCCTCCCTGTGAACGGATACAGGACGAAACAAATGTCTGTCTGAGAAAAGGTGTTCGTATCTGTGTGTGGCCCAGAATGCTCTGCTTCGGTGCCAAAGAAGATTCTGCGTTCAATGTTGCTCTGTGTGAGCTGGCTGGACATTTACCGTTCAAGAACAAGAAGGACTATGAGCTCAGCACTGAAAAAGATGTGATGGACATCATTGAGCGGTATCTTCTGCCTGACGGGGAGTTTCACAGCTTGGAACAGCAGCTTATTCGTCTTTTAATCGATTCTTAATGAATGGAGGACTTGATCAACCTTGTGCTTGAGCAACAAATCAGATGAAATGGATCCTTCATACATTTGTGTAATTGTTCCAGGTTTTTGATGACACAAATAAAATTTAACAAATCCTGCACCAAATACAAATATTTAGATGTGTTAATTATTACATTTTAAAATCTGTGTTTTCCTTTCGCTAAAGGATGTGTTATAGTGAAAGTTGTATTAAATACATTTGAAAACCAATAATAATTTATCTAAAACCTAAGGTTTGTGTTATATTTTTTTTGCTATGTTATGTGAAAACACATTTTGGTATGGTCAGGTATAATAGCACAGTTAATGCATTCTGCTCTGAAGATGCTTCAATCCATTGATTATCAATAAAGAAACAGAAGAAACATGGAATGTCGTTTTTCATGCGATGCCTGTTTCACCCCAATACTCCTCAGCACATACACACTGATTAACATACAAATACAGCACATGCAACAGTCTTGTCTGACAGTGGTAGTCGGATCGAGCTGGATCAGTGTAACACGTTATCCCTGAAGATCACATCATCTGCCAGAATTAGATCACCAAGGTAGCAGTGCTAAGCCAAGCAGTGAGATCAGCGAGCACAGATGCGTGGCTGCTCATTACAGCGCCGGTGAGAAAAAAACCTTCCTCTGAACAGACATGCTTACGTCAGGATAACGTGATTGTTGATGTTTTTAATCACATTTAGAAAATCTCTGCTTTCACCTGTCATGTACTCTGTGGGTGTTTCTTTGCACAGAGGTTTTCAGGATGGTGTCAGCAATTCAAATGAATACAGTATTGTTGGTGTCACGTTTCATTGGGAGAAGTGAGTGAGTTTCTTCATCCGGATATGTTCAAAGAGAGTCAGCTTCATGGCAGTCGTCCCATCATGCCTCAGGGCTTGTTGGAGCCAGTCATTGTCACCACCAGTGTTACCCTGCATGGATTGTTTAGTGGCCACAAATATGATTCATGTTGCTTCTGTATAGTAAATACTGCGACAGTGACTACTCATAGGTGAAATATTACAGCTACATTATACTTACATATACTGAACATGTAACATGTCTTCATATCAGTTTGTATGGATCCATTGG